AGGTCAAACCCAACAGAAGACGATTGTGGATTCCTCCTGACCAGCTGTCGATCGGCTTTGCTGCAACATTCTTGTTGATGCTGTAATCTCTTTCGATTCCCACGAAAATGTACTAAGCTTTTATACTTCGTATAACGAATGTCATCATAGCAGCATATAATTCTTACAACCATACTAAAGCTGATGAGTCTAAAAAGCATACAAATACAGAGACAGACACACTCACATGCTCCGAAGCTGGCATATGACCGGAACTAACTAACTTACTTTATGCCTCATATCATCATCAAAGATATAGAGTTGGAATACATTATTTTAGGGATGAGCCGATGAGTTTTCTTGATTGCTAGCTTGAATATGGTTGTAAGGATGATATCTTGCTCTAATGATATCTGTCATACGACAGACAAAAACTTAGCACGATTGACCTTCGAATCTATTCAACAATCACTTTCACTCGAAATTGAAATAAGCTTAACAATTATGAAGCAAGAGTCCTCGAAACCCAACTTTTAGTCGCATCCACTTCAGTCGTCAAGACTAAACTTACTGCTTTCCCCCTTATTTTTTTAATTTCCACATAGCTATGTTCACAGCATATATGGAAAGGCTCATTAATCGAGCATTTTCACAACTGTTTGTTCAGGCTCGTAAGAATAAAACGACTGTTCTAGTCTGATCATCAGATATAAACAATTCATGATAAGTGGAAAACCAAGAAACAGATTAAGCCTGTCTTAGCGATAAGACTAAAAAGCCTTTACTGCACGTTAAGAAACCATACTTACTCTGGATTTAGCTCCACAGCACGATGTTTCGGATTCTATTATTTCTTTTTAGAGCACTTTTATTAAGTAAATTTAAATTTTATTCTAAATAAAGCATCCGTTTTCATTGAATTGAATGCTGATTGTATGCAAACCAAGGAGCAGCCTAGAAATGCATCATTATAATTAATTGCTTATCTTGCCAAAGCTACATATTAGATAGGATATAAACTATCTTTAAAATTATATGCATATCAGACAGGCATCAATGGCTAGCTTTGGCTGCATATATTGCCTTCTGTCTCATCAGTACTTCTAAGGTAGTTTGGTTGTGAATTTGCAGAAGAAAGACTATTTGTACAATTTATCAAGCCTTTATGGAATTAGCAACGAAGGCTGAATTTTATAGGTAAGTGACTGTAGGAACTTAGGCATACGGCTATGATCGAAGGAAATTTATGGTAAATAAAATGCGGGAATAGCCTATTGCATTTCTCCATTTTTTAAAAATCTTTCCACGTGGTTACCACCTAGTATATTTCATGATGGCTCGATTGTTCTTGTTGAGCTTACTTCCATTTCAAGTTAAAGTGTTGGGTGAAGAGATTCGAAGGTCGGTTTTACTAGAAGATGACGGCGGATTCTTCTTGACCAGCTGTCGATTGACTTTACTGGAAGATTCATGCTGACGCTCTGTCCGAGGCAATCTCC